ATCACCTTTTTCCTCTTTCTTTGTCAAATATCCCTACGAAAGTGAAGGTGTAGCCGAAGACGGAAGTTAACTATTTTGAGACGTTCTAAGGAGCTGAGACTGAGACAGTTACATCTACATACCAATGAGCTGACCATTTGCAATGACGTATAAAAGTCTATTGGGTGTTCGAACAAAAATTAAGTAAACAACCAAATTTTCGCTCTTGAGATTCCAAGAAAGCTCAGAAGAGAACCATATTCTCTGATACGGAAGTGCAATCACTACCTTACTTTTTTGAAAATGGCGACGGCGAGACTGCCACATCCATTTGGAGCGTTATGCTCATATCACAACCATCTTTTACAGATCTTTAACTGAAGAACACACCTCCGACAATATTTGGTTTCAATAAGATGGTGCCACATGCCGCACAAGCCTAGTGAGTATGACTTTATTACGAGTGCAATTTCTAGGCTGTATAAGCTATTGACTTGGCGATGTCAACTGGGCAATTAGCGATCATGTAATTTGAAATGATTAGACTTTTTTGTGGTGCTACGCAAAAGATTGTCTTGAAGCGGATTAACATTCGACAAATTATTGCTGAGATATTGCCCAAAATGTACCGAAAATTGCTTGAGAATTATCTTGAACGGATAAAATTTCACAAAAACTGGCGTTGCAAATTTGAATGTTGTAGAGTTTCAGGAGGTCATTCAAGAAGAAATTGATAGCCCTATATATGTATGAAGAAAGGTAAAATCTTTTGCATTTAGTTCCAGTACATAAATAATCTATAGCAAAGTTTGAAATATTGTAATTTATGCTGGTTGGCAGGGGGCGTAGGGGAACTCTACGCAGGTAACCGTACCGTAGCCCCCGTTGTACATTTGAAAACGGTGTGTTCTATTTAAGAAACTTTTCATTTCGGCATAACCAGTTGGATTCTGAGGTAGTGTACGAACATTAATTCGTATTGTTCGCAACCTCAGCACACATCCACTGTAATGAGCTTTTAAATATAACAATTCTAAGCCGTATACCGTATTCCCTACATTATCGTAAAGTTCACTTTGGCAAATTAGTTTGATTTAGTCGAAGTTCTCCAACAATCTAATGCTTTTCTAAGATTCTTTGTTTTCGAAAAGCTATAAAATGGCGAAAGTTTGTCTAGCCATATTTTAGGTGAACACCCTTTTTGTTAACGCTCATATTCAACTGACCTGATACTGAAGTTTATTGGTCATGTAAAAAGTTCGTTCAGTTTTTTTTTTTTTTTTTTTTTTTTTTTGAAAATCTGATAACTTTGCATACATTCGTCCGATTTAGGTCATATATGCGCCGTTTTGTCCGCAAACTTGTTGCCAACGAGATGAATTCATTATATCCCTTTCGTTGAAGGTTTTGTTCCTATTTACAAAGAACTCGGAGAGCCAATTTTCACAGGTTTCTCTTGACGCCAACTTCTCACCATTAAGCGCGTTCGCCATGAACAGAAGAAGATGGTAATCACTTGGTGCCAGATCCAGATTATAAATACAAGCTCCTGGAGCTTCTAGCACGTCACCAAAGAGGTGTGTGATGGAACACGATTCGGCCCCCCTTGATCAAAGATGGCCTTATCTGGATGAGTTATGCCTTCAAGTGGTCGATTTGTTAGCAGTAGAGGGCTGTATTGAGCTTTTGGTCATAGAGGAGCAGCTCGTAGTAGATAATTCCTTGCCAATCTCACCATACACACAGCAAAACCTGTTGCATTTTTGACATCGAAATTACCGGCAGGGAGCCTAGATAACCACTTTCGTGCTTTGGCTGCTTTTTTGCATTGATCAAAGAAAACTTGTAAAATAATTTTCTCTTTGCTTTTGCTTGACCTAATTTATGTATCAGTACTTTGAATTAAATTCGTGTAAAATTTATGTGCTTTTACTATATATATAAAAATTAAATATAATTTTTTTGGTTCAGAAATTTTAGTTTTGTTTTCAAAAGAAACTTTCGGAATCATAAAAGAAAGTGTAAGCAGCTCATATATTAAGTAACCCAAATTTGTAATTACGTTTTGTCACATTTATTCGCACTCTACGTAGTGGTGAGTAATTAAAAATGTAGATATGTACATGTGTATGTAAACATTTTTGCCGACGTAAATGTCAAATAATTGTCTGCCACATATTTTATGCATGAAAAGTTATGACAAACAATAATAACAGCAACACAAACTCGCACCAAACAAACCAAAAACGCATTAAAATACGCAAATTTGTATGTGTGAACATAAATGCTGATAAACAGAAAATTTTTAATTACAAAAATAAAATGTTAAAATTGCTAAATTTTAATCACAAAAACCAGCATAACAACTGTGTCATTGCTATAAAAGCGAATTTTATACGAAACGAATCACCAAATGAGTACGCATATATAGTAACATAAATAAAAACATTTGTATTATATAACACATATATTGTTTATATGTTTGTACAGATGAACAAATCTCTATTATTAATACAACTGCATTTTAATGTAAAAAAACCTCTAAGCGTGCAGTGCGAGTGTGCATACGAGTGCGTGCAGCCGTGACAATTTATGGTTAATATTCAATGAAATCAGCTGTCTTTAAATATTTGCCTTTTCACAATTGTCTTTATATGCACTAGTCTATGCAAAAATTTAAAATTTAATTTATGCATACTCTGTGACGTGGCTGTCATTAGAGGTTACCTGGTAGCCATTCTTGGTGCACCCCATGCAAAACAGTTATATTAGCGTCGGTTACATTAAATGATTTAATGGAGAAGTGCTGTTCGCACAAAGCCAACCAACACCAGCCACACTCACCACCGCCAACAGTGTGTTGATATTTACTCACTTGTTTGTTTGCTCACTTGTACATTGTCTGCTTATTCCTGCTTACTGTTCGCTGTTTACTGTTTACTGTCGACTGCTGACAACTCGCACTGCTTAATGCACTCACTGCTCCCGCCACTTCTGTCCTGACAGTTTACTGTCCGTGTGCTTCTCTGTCGGGCAGCTCTTCTTGTGTGGGTTTTTAATTACTTAATTTTTATGACGTGCGCATGTAAATTTTACAGTAAATAAATTTCAATGGACATTTTATGCTTTTGAAATTTGACATTATGTTACATCGCGCCATACTTTGCGTTGTGTCCTAGCAGTGTCTTTCTATCCCTTTTCCTCTGGGTGATTGGTAGCCATTTTGGCTATCAAATTTTATGACGCGCACTTTATGTGGTGCAATAACAAATGCTTGTAAGTTGATGTAACAACTGTGTGCTAAAAGTAACTGCAACGAAATGTAAGCGCTTAAATATATATGTGAATATATATATGTTAATATTTACATATATATTATCTAAATGTGAGTACAAATGTTTTTCTACCGTAAATACCGTAAAAGTTGTTATGGTGGAATTTTACATTTAAATATTAAATTTTGCTTTTTGAAAAAATTTTAATTAGATTTTTATTAGAAATACATTTTTGACTACAATAATTTAGCTTTTTTCTTTTCACAATTTTGCTTTAATTATCATAAAATGCTGAGCTGTATTTTCGTAATTTTCTACCAAAATTGTTTGTCTGCATTGCCAGATTAAGCTTATTGACTGTCTCTAGCAGGAAGAACTCAATCAAAAGAAAGAACCAAATGGTTTTTAATTTGATTTGCTCCTCTGCTAACTGAGTTCACTTATCAGCAACTCTGTATAAAAGAATTGTCGGAGGACAATTAAAGTTTTCCACACACAGATTTACACAAAATTATTAGTTTTCGGCGACTTACAAAGGGTTTCGAGACCAGAGCTTATATTTGAACAACCAAAGAATTCAATGTTAGCGGCTCCTGCATAGAGAACAGAGAAGACCATATCCAAACTGGTTATCTGCTATGAAAATTTAACTAGAAGATTGTGAACCCTAATCCATAATCTATAATGTTAAAACGAATAATCCATATACTGCGTCGAAGAGCTGGCAATGTAAACGTTTTAGGCTCTTTGTAGAAAGAAGACGGACGAAGGCGTGTCCGGCCATTGAACTGAAAGTATTCACATATCAAGAAAAAGGTGACCGCGCAGCTTTCGCCAATAACTGTGAGGTTGGTCAAATTCCAGGTATTGTGTAGAAAATTATAGCGCACTTTTAATAAACGGGCTATTTTTTGGTTTGAGTAGGCGATTGAAAACAAAAAAATCTCTAGAGGAACAAAAGTAGAATGAGCAGCAAATTCGAGACTAGACGAATACTTCCATTCCGTGGCATTGAAAAAAAAGATGGACCGGTCTGCACTTGGCATCCCCACATGGTGCTAAAAGAGTTGTTAACTCATCTTTAATCCCATAACAAACCTCCGTAGAGTAGCTTAAAGAGCTTGAATTTATCTAACGTATTCAAATACCAAAATTTGTCAAACTCTAATACCCAGAACTTATCTTTGTTTCTCCGTTCGATTTATATTTCTTCACCACAGAATTGCAAAATCTTTTAGTTCTGACTCGTTTTTTTATCTTTATTATTTTCGTCTATGTATGAACTAGCTCGCGATATTTGTGAATACGCACTATATCAATTTCGGGCTTCGTAGATTATACATATGTACCACTGTAGCTCTTAAAATCCACATTTCATTATTGACAATATCCCTAGTGGAACAGAATTTTAGCAACTGATAAGTAATTGTAAATTGAACTTATTCACATATTAAGCTATTATGACTCAGTTCATCTTTTTGTTGAAATTACAGCATAGTAATTAAGGTTATAATGACAGTGGAAATTACCACATGGCATAATACAATATTGCGCGCATTGTAGTTCATACTGCCGACCATGAGAGCCGTGCTATTTACTCCGCTCACACACGACCAACAAGTTGCAACTAGCAGTCTGCCAAAAATTTAACCCCTTCAAGCATTTCTGGCGTTGCACGTATTTTGCGCATTTAAATTTATGTCACTCCACTGGGACTCATCACTCACTTTTACCGTCTCATTGCAGTTACACCAAAGCATGGTCCACAAATAACCGGCGGCCAACCGCGTTACCAAATTGATGACATCGTACGCGTGAATTGTACGTCGGCGCCGTCCAAGCCAGTGTGTCATCTAAGTTGGTTAATTAATGGCGTACATGCGAACCGGACATTCCTGCGGCCATACGATCCCATCATTGTTGGACGCGAGGGCTTGGAAGTGGCGCGCTTGGGATTGGAGTTTCGCGTACGTAAAAGATTTTTCAAACACGGCGACATGAAGTTGAAGGTGAGTTAAACTTTATATATTTAGATAGATATATTCTACTTAAAATTGAACAGTCTGGCAGTATTCGCATCTATAAATAGAGCTATGTCCTTTTTTAAATATACATATACATGCAAACATTTGTAGAGCATGCATCTGTCTGTCAGCCATATTTAATCAACTTTAATAAACCATATTCGTCTGTGTAAGTGCTAAATGAATTTCCACTTCATGTGCAGTTCTGATTATCACATGCTTTTGTATGACCTACTCGTTTGTAGGTATGTGTGTAGATGTGTGCAAACTTTCACTTAATGAGATGCGCTTCAGGTGACACGTTGCAATTATGGCTAAAACGTTCGCTGTCAACGGTCAAACAACACATATGACAACAAAATCTACCGCGGTGATAATTAAGTGGACAATAATCCAAATGACAGTGGACTTGTTATTTCATTATATTAAGTTCGCTGAATAATTCAAAACTATTAAAACATATACAAATTAGAATAGTAAATTGCCAACAAAAATAAATTCGAAAATTATAAGTTAAAAAATATATGTGGAAAAAAACTATTTCTTGACTTAAATGTCTGGCATTTTCTAACATAACAAAATTATCAAATAGAAGAGAGTTAAAATTAAATTCAGCTTTTAAAAAAAATTCTTTTGCTGAAAGCCGTTAAATAATTTTAACTTATTTTTAAATAAATTTATAATTTTTTAATGAATCTTAATCAATTATGCGAATTCCATTTTGTTGGGCGACCTTAAGCCATTTCTCTGGCAACTACATCAAGCCATGCTCATGTTAAAGCTTATAGACTTTATCTGCAAAAACAAGATAAAGTGTAATTTTATAGCCTCGTCATTCTTCGAAAGTTATGCCATTTAATGAATTCTTCAAAGTTTGAAAAAAATGGTAGTCTGACGGTGCATGGTCAGGGCTATAATGTGCATGCATCAACAGTCCAAAGTCAAGCTCTCTCAGTTTTTGTCGAACGACCTAAGATGAGTGTGGTCTAGCACTGTCCTAATGGAAAATGACACCTTTACGATTTACCAATTCTGGCCACCTTTCGTTGATGGATGTAATTAATTTGTCATGTTGTTTACAGTAGACATCATGATTAATCTTTTGGTTCCTTGGCAGAAGCTCAAAATCTACCACACTCTTCCAGTATTACCCAACGGACAGCATAATATTCTTTTGGGGAATACCTGCTTTTTAAGTATTTTGTGGCGCTTCATCGTGCTTTGAGGATGGTCGTTTTCAATTGGCGTTATTGTAAACAATTCATTTTTCATATTCAATTATGATTTGTTTCAGAACCGGATCATATTCATTGTGTTCAAGGTGCATATTACAAGCGTTGAAGCAGCTTGTTTATTGAATTTTGAAAAATCGCCGTTTTCTTTTAAGGCAACTTATCTGCGTGGGACCGATCATTGTTGTTTTGCAAAATAACTTTTTTCATTTTTTTACAAATTCTCGGCTACAGTGTTTTATGTTAATGATTTCGCTTTTTTCTAGTGAAGTTTCTTATTTGATTTCCTTATCTTGAAAGTTCTAAGCTACTCAGTAGGTCCTTTGTTTTTGAACCTGAAATATTAACTTTTGAAGCGTTGAAACCACTCTCTACATAGCTTATTGATAAGATTCAACTACGCTTTACTTACAATTGAAAACTTCCGGCTGGTGCTGTTCACTTGACATGTTTGGATATGTTCGAAGACTCAATAACAATGCTGTTGTCAGAAAAAGGCATTTTCAGCGAAAAAGGTAATCGATTTCAAGATTGGCCACAGCTTTCAAGTGGATCCGTCTTTTGAGAACGGAAAGAATTGATTGATAACTCCAATAGATTTAGCTAATGCATTCACATTTGTCACATCACATTTGTATCTAAAACTTTTCCAACGAAAGGACTACGTGTTATTTCAAGTTTAACCCTCAAATGAGTAAAAACAGTGAGCACAACCATGACATTATATCGCACCTTTGCAAGGGTTGAGCTTAAATTATAAAGACATATCCGTGAACTCATACGTGAACTTATCAGCTCTACCGATTATTGCTGTTCAGTACAACCTACGTGAGATCCTGGAAACTAGCTATTTTGATGGGTTTGGACCAAAAAGAGAAGGTGGTTAGACCGCGGGGGTATGCAAGATATACATAGGGAATGTCAGGGTGAATGAATTATGTATGGGTAGATTTTAGGCCATCACCATCAGCCGTTCGCAGGCGGCTTGGTATAAGCCGTAGGTTCTTGCATTTGTTGGAAAAACATGAAGACGTAAAACCACAACTTGGAGAGTGAGCTCGGCCAAAAATTACTTCGGCGGTTACAAAGCGCCAATTATATATGCAAAGTAAATTAGTGTAGGCTGTCGACTGGAACTGGACAAGAAGGTGGCCAATACTTTCGCAAGCTATAATTATAATTATCTTTCAACGAAGCTCATCAACTGTTCGATGCTGTTGCTTTCGATATAATTATGGAGCTGACCACATGGACACAGTTGTGTGGTAATATAATGAAAGTCGTCTTTCTATTTTCAGCTTTCTCTTTTTTTAATTGTTATTGGGATTTTAATGCATTGTTTTTAGAGTTACTACTTTTTGCCTTGAATTAATAGAGAAAATTACCTTTCTTTTTAATTTTATGTTTATTACTTCTCCTCATTACATTCTTTATGGCGAACATAACAATCAAATGCTTTTCCGAAACAGATATTATAAAAACTATATTATTTTAAAATATGATATTAATTTAAATGGTATTTTCTAAAAAAAAAAATTTTTTTTTATTACTTTCAAATTGTATGCCCAAAATGACAATTGACATATTTAAATTTAATGCCGCAGCTACTACATATAACGATTTTTACGTATACCGGAAATAAGTATATGGAACTGAAGGTCATGCGAACTTAAACTTACTCGCACCTACATTACGTGCAACATACAAGCAGAAATAAAATGGAAACAATATATAAGCTGTCCTCTCAGGCGTTGGGCGGTATCTCCTGTAAACATATATTTTGGTGTATATACATACATAAATACAAGCGTTGCTATAAGATTGCGCTCATACTCAAATATAATACAAGCAGTAAACCGTTAGCATTGACCGAAGTGTGACCAACGCATACGGTGCTATTAAAGCGCTCTGGGTGTATTTGTATTGCGGTTGTCCGCACGCATAGCGGCAATTGTGTTAACAGTATTCTCTGAGTCATTAAAGTGCGTGACAAATCCAAGTGCACATACGACGAATTTACTGTGTGCGCGCGTATGTATTAGTCGGTATGTGATATGTGCAAGTTAAATTGTATGTACGTGTTGGACTACAGGGCGTATACGTAACACTTGCTTAAATCAATTGACATGAATGTACTTCCATACGTACATATGTACATATGTGCATGCCTACCGAGCTACACATTTGTTGCTGTTGTTGTCAGTAATGTTTACACTGTCTTTTCTTTCATTTCATATTTTCCCCCAATTGTTTACTATGGTCATAAAAATGGGGCAATGAAATGTGCAAGTACATAAAAGGAAATGAGTGAATGGTATGAGGAATTTATTTCAGTTCATACATATAAATAGTTGCGTATATTTCATTGTTGGTGTATTTACTTAACTTAGTAGCTATCGAAATGAAGAATTTTATTTCCACAACTTTGTTTAGTAGCTGTGTTGGATAAGTAAACATAAACAAGGCCAAGGAAGTGTCCTTTGTGGCTTTATGGAAGTTTTTGGATGATTGTGTGTGGTCAGCTAGATATTAGTACCCGATTGTGTCAACTTAATTGAATTATATTATTTTATTTTCTCAACATATCTCTGTGTTATGTAATTGATTAAAGATTTCTTCGCTTTCTTTTTTTTTAGTGTGTGGCTAAAATATCTTCAGTTTATTGGCAGAGCAATGAAGAAAGCGTGGCGAATGAGAAACATCAGAAAATACCCGTACTTGAATCGCGTGAAACTGTTGTGGCAAAGTCACGCTTGCGTGACAAGGCGTTGGAAGGTGCTTATTTTAACAATTTAGTATACTGATATTATTTCCTTGTTATTTTAATATTTTTCTTTTATAAATAACTCAATACATATTTAACTTAATATATATAATTAAAAATAAAAAATAACAAATTTCATATTTCTATTTTCAATTTCATTTCAATAACATAAATTATTAAAATTTATAAATTTAGCTTACTTACATACTTCGTTTTCCAAAACAAATTTTTTAATGTATTAAGTTTCTTAATAAATTAATTGTAATTATGATTTCGTAAACAAATTTACATGAAGTTGTTTTGAATGCAGTTAAAATTTAAAAAAAAAATTATTTTAATTATAATTTCGAAACAATTTGGTTTAAATTTTGTTACAACAAAAATACTACTTTTTTAAATAAATAAATTTTTTTAATTTTATTTCTGCGAATAAAATATATTTTTTTTATTTGCTATACTTACATATTCACAAAAAAAATTGTGTGGTTTTAATGCATCTAATAATTCTCGTAAAGTTAATTTTGTAGTATAATATTAATAATATCAATTATTCAAATAAAGTTTCGTAAATTAAACTAAAGAAAAATTTATACTTTTCTCTTAATAATTCACTATAATTTCATCAAATTTAATTTAATGTAAATAATCTATTTTATAGGAACTAATTACTTATAAATTAGGTTTTTGTTTAGATATAACTATAATTTCACTGAAATTTTGTATAATTTTCATTTTAATCTTTTTTGTTTAATAAAATTAAAATTAATAAGAATTTTAGAAAACATTTTTATTTTAATGCAGAAAAATAATTCAGTAAATTTATTTATAATTATAATTTTTACTTCAATAAAACTTTTAATAAAGTTTATAACAGTAAGAAAAAAACCTAATTTTTTCATTAATATTAATTATAAATAAAACATAACAAAAAGGTTCATCTAAATTTTATTTCTATCTAATGAATAATTTATAGTTATAAATTTATTATCTAAACAGTTTGATCTCAATGTTTATCGTTTTTTCATATAATATCGTTATCACTTATTAGTCCATCACTTATTATCACTTTCCATTAACTTCAATTTACCCTTCCTCTCATAACTCATTGTGAATTTTATATTTGGCAAATTGCCGGTTTATCATTACAGATAATCAACTCAAAGATGCAAGTACATCATCAGCAGCGACATCTTCAGCGGCCACACACTTGCCATTAGCGGCACAACATTCGATACTAACAACCTTCGCGCCCACCCTACTCCTACTCACGTTGCCGGGCTTAGCAGCAATGCTGCCACTATTAATAGCATTTTTCTGTCAATATTGCCAATTTAATATTTATATGCGCCAACAACAACAGCAGAAACAGCAAGACTATCGATTGCAAGCGTGTCATGGCTGTTTCGGTGCCAGCAGTTACCGACAGTGGACGCGCCACATTCACCCAACTGACAGATGACAATTAGCTTTGGCATATTAAATATGTGCGAAGGCAATTGACATTTGAAGCAATTGCAGCAGCGGCAGCATTAACGTTAGCAGCAGCAAATGAAAGTACTCAGCCATCATCATCATTGATTAGTATAAATTGTTGAAGATTAATAGCTATTTTTTTCACTTTCGTTATCTATCAATTAATTGTTGATGAATTTAGCGTAGCTATGGCGTGGCATTGATGTTAGAGTGTTAAAAAAAGAAGAATTAAAAATTGTAAAAAATGGGCTGAAATGGAAAACTTTGGTGACTGTTATTGACTTAATTTGTGTAAGTAGTAGATAAGAAAAATATAAAAAAAAAATAAACGATATGACATTTTAATGTAGTTAGTTAAGGCTTGTTAATTTATTAAATTACTAGATACCAATGTATATGTCTTAACTAAATTTAAAATGAGGAGGTGGTAGGCCTAGTAGAATTATTTAGATACAATTTCTACTTAAAGGTTATTTAAAGTGATATGTTTGGTTTGCTATTCATTCTGAATTTTTGTTAATAAATATATTGTGCGATATCGTTTTTTAGACAGCATTGACGATCAAAATGATTTTTGTGTGTGCTTGGTACGTTTGACAAGGTATCGTATGAGCTACTCTTTTACAGCCCAACCCTTAATTCTTCCTTCTAAAAAAAGTAATCGCAAAGAAGCGCTCAGGAGGTGAATTGTATGTGGAAAGGACAAATTCAGACCACACATATCGATAGTGACCCGCCAGAAGTTCCGAGAGCTTCGTTGAGAGTTTCTTATGCATCCACCGTATAGTCCGGACTTCTAACCAATTGAATAGCATCATTAACCGTTCTAGGGGTTGGCTTCAAGAGAATCCAGTGTAAATCGATTGTTCACATTTATTGTCAATAGGTTTAATATGAGGATGGCATTACCTTTAAAACAGGAAAAGTAAAAGAGCAAAACTTGTTATGAATTGGATAATTTTAACAACGACAAACAAATCCTTCAATTTAATTCATAAATAATGCATTACTTAATAATTTAATTTTTAATATATATTAACTAATTTTATTTATTATTTATTTTATTTTATTTAAAATTGACGATCACAGGTTTCTAGTTTCATAATTAATATACTTTATTTGTATTTATTTTTAAATGCAGTTTGGTAATTAATACAATGGTCTTAATTATTAATATTGTACTAAATAATGAGCTACTAGCTTTAAACCAAAAAATGTGTGCAGAACTATTTGAAGCATTTTAAGAAATTATTAGTCTCACCCACAAAAAATCGACCTTTATCTACCAAACTTGGGTCATAAGTTACATTCTGCAATTCTCTGTCCCTTCCCTTTCTCCCATTTTTCTGTCATCAAGCAAACTTAATTTGAACAAATGTATCACCAGCAGCCGATGAACTTCTTATAGTCGTATTCAGCAGCCAGGAGTCCCATGATAATACCAGATCCCTTGCCGTGTAGTATACTTAGAGAAAATAAAAATTGTTAACTAGGATCTGAAAACCATACAATCTAGTGATATCATTAACATTATTAATCTTAAAAACTTTAGCTATAATTTTTTTAATAAATTTCACTAAAATGGTGATTTATTTATTTATTCTTATGTTACTAAATTTATTGTAATATTTATTATACTAATAAGTTATATTGCTCGTTATTACTAACACTATTTGAATTTTTAAACTACAAACTGCAACTATCTCAGGTAAGAAATTTATTAGAAAACACAAATTTTGGTTTTCGCTAACATTTTATTAAAGCTATTTTGTCTCTTTTTTAACTAAATACTATTGTATTCAATAAGCCTTTATAAAATGAGTTTTATAATACTAGTTTTCATTTTATTCATTTTATTCTAAACGCTTAAAATAATTTTATTACATCGCTCTTCAAGGCTTGCAGTCAGTGGCTATGTTAGGTCAATTATAAAATTAACCCTCTCAAGCTTGTAATTTATATATTTTTGACAGAAAACTTCATTTGTTAACCAGAGTCTAAAATTGTAAATAATAAATAATGACATATCTCACAACTTGTACGTGTTTGTATTTATAGAAATGTACACGATTCGCAAATCCTTTGCATGTACATACACTTGACTTACTTTAAAAGTACAAAACTATATCTATGTAAAGCAGGAAAGGCTACTATTTAAATATAAGTGTTGGAAAATAATGGTTCGTACGCTGCTTTTGGACTGAAAGGCAAAAAATTGTTATTTATTATTATATATGTACGATTATATTACGAGGAATTCATGATTTGTAAATATTAAAATTTATGTAAAAACATATAATTATAATTGATTTCTGCTCAAATAGCGTCTAAAAGCAGGTTAGTTAAATCGATGAAGTGCATAAATCAGTATTTCAAAAATTAATTATAGTCACGGAAATTCGGAACAAATGTGAAGTGTAAAAATATTTTATGATAGCTTCCTCAATTCCTTTAAATGTAATTCTGTATGTTTAACTTACGTTCATTACCATTTTCGAAGTCAATTAATACCAATTGTGGTATACTTAAATATTTTGTTCGAGGTAAAGTCAATTCTCTACACAAAAGTCAATAAATCAAAACAATAAAATATAGTTTCAGATTAACTTTCTTAATTTCAATAAATTGTATGAAGTTCTCAATATTTTTAATCAAACCACAATAAGTGGTTCTTGGCAGTGACATTCTTTTATGAAATTATTGTTTTAAGTTGAAAGGAATTACTTTTCTTTACTTTATATAATATATACTTCTGCTGTAAATAACAAAAATTCAAATTGTAAGTAGCATTAGAATTTGCAGACATACTAGATACGTACGTCAATATATAACAAAAAAAGAAAAAGAAAAACAGAAGCACAAATACACTTGCAAATCTCTTATAGTAAATAAGTAAACTAAATTCATTAGTATTAAGCTAATATAATTTAATTTAAATAAATATGTTGTTAGTAATATGCGCAGTAAATAGTCAAATCAAATGTGTATTTTGATCAAATACGAAAAATTTCATTGAAATCAATAAAATTTCAAAAATCTCAAACAAAATTTAATATGTTTTTGGGGAAATTATTAATTGAAATTCTTGATATTTCATTTCATTATACTCATAAGGTAATTTTCGTTTTCAATTGATGCATTTTTCTCAATATATTGTCAATAAAATAAACTTATGAAGTACCCTTTGGCATGCAACGCCCAAAATAAAACCAACTTGACCACATACATCATAAGAAATCAGAAGTAGTTTTACATATGAAGTGGTTATTTAGTGTGTTTTGCTTTCAGCAGCAGCAGCTAACACACCTAAATCTCAAGAGAGCCTTCAAAGTGCAATACATACCATCAACAGCCAAAATGATCGATGGTGACGAGAATGACAGAATAATTCATTCTTCTAAGTTAAAATTAAAGATATTTCACCTTTCCAACGCCAACTAGCGGAACCTGATCAAACTTATAAAACGCGAGATGCTGAATTTCTTCTTACTACACCTCATTTAAATTGAGTAATTTTTAAAACGAGAAATACAAACTGGCTTGCTAGCAGGAGAGATGGCACTTTTTGCAAACTGATTAGCTATTTCGTTGCCCATATTAATCTAGCAGACTGCTGTCGTTCTTCTGATAATTTTGTATACCAAACGTTTTAGCTTAGAGGATATTGCAAGAGTTTGGCAGCTTAAACCGCCTTTTTACCCGAAGTTGGTGGCTGCTGTTTTTCAGCTGCCAGGAGTAAAGCTAGATTTGCTGTTGGCATGCACAAAATCTTCCGGTAATGCTGATCATTGAAAGTTTGAGGACCCTCTATAAGCAATATAGAAATGATTTTTTTCGGCAACCTTCCACCACTCTACAGCATTGTGGAAAAGGATTGGCTTTACGAACGCTACGAAGATTTAGTGCCGGGGAGCAAATGAGAAACCCCATGTGTAGCTCAATATTCCTTTAATTGTATACAGCGTTGATATTCCCTGCTTCACTGGCGCCTTTACATAGATCGTTCACGACCAAGCTTTGGTTTGATTAATGTTGGAATTCCGAAATTCTTTTGAATTTAGCCTAACAATTTAAAAGGAGTAAAAGTGAGGAAAATTTATTTCGCAATAAAACCATGATCGCTGTTTTTGTTGTTGTTATAACCGTAAACTTAAATTAACAAGACTGTGAAATTAATCCATAATCCTGATCGATGCATAACTTATTGCAAGTTTTGTGTAATGAGGTTGGTTTTTTAAAACATATCTCAATTTTGGTAATTTTTTAAATCATTTTATCAAATATTTTTAAGCGCACTGAAAAGGACTTATCTATAATTTGTAAGCCCGGCCAATTAGTGCGGCAACAGTTTTCTAAAAGTATATCATACCAACTACCACAACAGAATATTATATTTACAATGCACAAAACCAAATATACAAAAATAATTCATCAATTAGCATCTCATTTATACGCGCTGCATTGGTGTTTTAATTATGCATAATGAGTGAGTTACCACGATATGCGTTAATTTGTATGTACTTTTCGTTGGCTTAATAACCAACTCTCGTTCAAATTATCTGTATGACGAATATATATTTTATGTGTACAATACAATTGCATGTAAGTAGCAGTAGCGAGTTTACAAAACTTTTTAATAATAATATGCCGTATTGCATTTTAAATACCAGACAGGATTTACAGTATAGCAGCACGCTTGCACATTTTAATACATGTTCATTAATCTGTTTGTATAAATGTGTATGTATATAAAATATGATTTTATCCTGCTTTGTGCGCCTGTTTAGCTCCATTCATGCGGCTACTTAGGCACAATATGGCATTTAATTGCTAGCTGAGTTACATACATAGATATATATGTACATATCGAAACGCATGGTGCAGCAGAACACGCTATGTAGTCATAAATTCGAAAAAAAGTGTGACTTCGTACTACTGCCAATTACCAAAGTGTCCAAATACAAATTTAATAATTTAATAAAATATTTCTGTAAATATACTCTTTTATTAATGACTAATATGTCACTAGAGAGTTCACCATCTCCCACTATTTGTACCCTAAAATGAGAACGTAAATAAGCTGCTCTCGTAAAGGTTTTATATTTTATATGAATATGAATATATTAATTTGATACCTTGTGAACCCTTTATAAACTTTCGACTACTTACTCCTCGATTTATGTGGTACGAATAAATACAAAAAACAAATTTTTTCTGATCAACTTACCAAACTTTTGTCAATCACCTCGTCCATATTATAAATTTCGGTGAGTCTATATCTTTTTTTCAGACTAAAATAAGTACCCAATTTTATGTCTCTGAAAGCTATAAACAAAAATCAATAGGTCTCAGGTGAGAGACCTTTTTGTTGAAGAGTTCCCCTACTGTCTGAATATAAATGGGACATTTTTAAACAAAGATTTCAATTATGTTTTGAGTGTCTCTTAATATTGGTTACATGGACTTTCCAAACAATTAAACTGGTTTTTTTGTAAAGAAGAAGAGAAATAAAATAATACAATATAATGCATCTTTCGGCTATTTTATACAGGTAGTAACGATTTAAGGGGTACACCTGAAGTAAAATTTCAAAAAAGGGGATCTTTTTTCATATTTCGGTAGATTACACCTTATTAAATAACATACTAAAATTCAAATTCAAATTGATATCTCAAATGGTTTTTGAGTTATAGAAATTTAAAGAACAGCCGCCCGGCAGCTAGAGAGTCTCATTAGCTACGAGTGAAAACGATCATTTTATCTTTAAACGCGTTTTTCTCGAAGCAGCATTTTCCGAATTTGCTGCAGTGATTACTCAAAAACAAATGATTCGATCACTATCGAATTTTTTTACATGTTCTATATATAGTTCTACGTACAATGACCCATCGATATTTTATCTGATAAAAAATGGAATTTTGGCAGGCCGAAAACGACCAAAACTTTGGGTAAAATTCGACTATTTTTTTTAAAACGCCGCCATATTGTCAATTTTTGATTTTTC